GCCGCAGCAAGGGTGATCGGTCAGGTGGGCAGGCGGCACTCCCGCTGCTGAACGCTCAGCCGGCCTCCTGCCATCCCTTCCCCCGCTGTTGGAGGGAAACGTGAGAGCTTTGAAGCCTGAGGAAGAACTGTAAAACGGTAAGGGGAAGCCAAGGGCATTGTGGTGGAGTGCTATGGATGTATAGGGTCCCTTATAGGATCTGGCGACCTCATAAGGTCTTCCGGGAGGCCTTATAGCACCTTCCAGTACTTGAAGGGGCTGCAAGGAAGCTGGGGACGACTTTTTACCAGTGCCTGTAGTGACAGGACAAGGGGTAATGGGTTTAAATTGAAAGTGGGGAGGGGTAGATTGGATATCAGGAAGAAGTTCTTCCTGGCGAGGGTGGGGAGGCACTGGAACAGGCTGCCCAGAGAAGCTGTGGATGCCCCATCCTGGAAGTGTCCAAGGCCAGGCTGGATGAGGCTTTGAGCAACCTGGTCTAGTGGAAGGTGTCCCTGCCCATGGCAGGGGGGTTGGAACCGGATGGTCTTCAAGGTCCCTTCCAACCCGAAGCATTCTGTGATTCTGTGATCCCGTATATAATAGGGTGCCTTAGCTCATTAGCAAGAAATAGAGAAGGCCAATATGATTTGCTTTTTAAAGTACTTGCTGTTTATTTACTCAGCATTCGGGTAAAACTTGAGCTTTATTGGAACCCAGAGTTTAACTGGAGAAACTAGATATTTGAAACTGGTGTATCCTGAAAAAAACTTAAAGCCCTTAACTAAGTGAAATGCAACAGAAAAAATATAACTGCGTCTTAACTGCCATTACTGAGCAGAAATTAATGTCAATTGGTTTAACCCTTGGAGAGCTACATAATTCTGTGATGCTAGCAAGGAACAGGAAGCCCAACTGTTTTCTCCTGGCTCTGTTTGAAAGTTCCTCAAGAGCCCCCTTTTAAAATAAATATAATTTTTCATGAAAGTATTTGAAACATGCTTCTGAACTTGACCTTTTCCTCCAGTCTACGTGGAATCTCTGTTCTTTGTGGCTCATCTCTCAGGCATCAGGCCCTGATGCCAGGGAATGGTGTATGTGTTTTACTCGATAGGAAGCAAAGGCCTGAGGGAAAGAATATTAAAGGAAAAATGAGGAACATATCCACAAGCAACAGGAATGCAGAGACAATTCCCCTTCTCCTGCTGTGCTGAGAGGCTGGTAAATGGATTTGGTGGCTTGCTTTAATAACCTCATTATTTTCAGAGGACATCCTACGAATGGTATATTCCAAAAGGAATCCTGAAGACTGGTTGGATGAACAAACACCTGAATTTGGTTCCAGCGCTTGTTGTGGTGTTCTATGAACTAGACTGGGATGAGCCACAGTGGAAAGAAAAACAGTCGGAATGTGCTACTCGAGTTGAAATTGTCAGGTAGAGTTTTTTCACTTGGTTCGTAATGGACTGCAAGCTAATGCTAAGTGTGACCTGCAGAATCCTTTTTGTACTCTAAGATACATAAATGTTATGTTTTCCTTGGAAACAAATTAAGGGGAACTTGAACTTTGCTTTTTAATGTACAACTGACAGTAAACTTTTTTAAATGGTTTATTTATAAAAGCCAGTTAAGTATAAACAGCGCCGAAAATTTTGCTTGCTAAACTCAGCATGATTGTTCTGTTCCACCTGAGCAAGAAAAAGAACACAGAATTCTGTTGATGATGCAGCATGTTGTTGTGTTTAGATTTATTTCCTTTGTGGCCTTCTTTCAATCATTCCATCTAGACTGAAATCTCATTTTGTTCTGATTATTCAGAAATAAGTGAAACCATGATGCTGTTCTGTGTTGGTTTTATTTTAGGCAAAGTTTGCAGGGAAGAAATACGAAAGTTGCTGTGGTTTTGATTCAGAAAAAAACACCATTACCTCCAGGTACTAGAAAATTCTGTGCATGGTTATGGTGATCTCATTTTTCAGAAGGCCTGATGGACTGAGCTGACTATAATTTGTCACATTATCTGCAGTTCTTGCAGATAATTGTGGCTGCAGGAAGGGGTACAGATGGAAAAGCGTGCTCAGGGCAGTTGACCCTAAATGTTTGGTACTTCTATCGTTTACTTCTTCCTCTGAAGTCCAAGCCCATCTTCAGATAGACAGTATCAAAAATGGCTTGCTAGTGAAATCCATGTGACATGCCTCCTTGTAAGCCAGTTGCATTTTAAACCTTGCTTGAGATCAAGAAAAGCTGTAAAAGCAATGAGAACTTAGAGGAAGGGTATTTGGGACCTGCAGAAGCCTTTTAGTTCAACTCAGTTTTAATCAATAAAACTTTGGAGTCAAGTGTTGTTGTGAAATGTGATACATTTTAATCTGATGTTTCTGTGGAGCTACTGCTTCAGCTGTAGTGACATACTTCCTAGTATCTGACAAGCTTTTTTTTGTTGGTGGGTTTTTTTTTCTCTACCTGCTCTATACGTCCTTTCTGGATGCTGTTGTATTTCTCAAGACACAAGATACTTAATTCTCTGAGAGATATGGAAAAGTTGTCATGCTTGTAGGTTGTTGCTAGCTAAGCCACTCCTAGAAAGTTTCTGCAATGCATTTTGCTGGATGAAGCATGTAGTACTCTAAAGGAGTAAGAAAGAATGTGGTGTTAGTTTTATCTGTGTTAGATTTTTCCATACCTTATGCTGGTCAAGCTTGAAGAGCTAGTTTGACATCGCCCCACTGCATCCCGCTTACACGCACTTTCCTTGACTTCGCTAGGGGAAGATGTTATTGCATCAGAGAGGGCAGCGGCTTTATGTAATGCCTGTGACCTTTCTGGAAAATCCCTCTTCGTACTTCCACACACTGATCACCTTGTTGGTTATATTATAAGGTAAGTGACTGTAAACCGCTGTGTTGCTCCGTTTGCTAATGGAGGTGTTGAGAGGGTTGATAGGCTGGGATGAGTGACTGCCCTGTGGCACGCTCATAGACCAGCAGTGAATGTTTTATCTGTTTGCAGGAATTCTTCAGGTTGTTCTGCAACCTGGTGAATTACCCAGCTCCCCTTTCTCTCTGAAGTTGGGTGGTGACTCTTGGAGATGTTTCTTTTGAAGACCTGTTACTAGATAGCCCAAGATGTTCCCTTTGTCAAGGCAAAGACAGTGCTTTTCTATCTCAACAGTGATTTTGGCCCTGATGGTTCTAAATTTTCCTTACAAATGTTTTGTTAGGTGTAACTCTGTATTTAGCAGGTCTTTGCTTTTCACCCCACCGTCCTCTTGGCTGGATAGGCCTCTCCATTTATGCTAAGTGACATTTATGTAATTGCAAATATGATGTCTTTGTCAGTTTTTTACATTTCCTGTGCTTTCTGTTTTAGTGTTTACAGGGAATACAGCTTTAAATAAATTATGAAGGCCTTTCAAAAGCAGAACAGGGAAAGGAAGGCAGTCTTGTGTAGACCTAAAAAGAACGGTTCCAACTAAGTCTTTATTGAAAATTAGGGTGTGGGTTTTTTTTTTAATTAGGTTAGGGGTTTTTTTTTAATATATTTTTTTTAAATTAGGTTTATTAAAATTAGTTTTACTTTTTCCAGATACGGTCAGGGAGAAGAGAGGTCGTGGTCTGAGAGACTAATTCTTCCTTCTGTCACCATCGTATTTATATATAAACAGCAAAGTTCTCGACATAACGCAGTTATTGTCTCCGTGCTGATACAAACAGAGGGAATGTTTACTTCATGCTAGTTGGTGCAAGCCTCTGCAAACTGCTTGTAGGAGCAGTTTGATAGGAGATTTGCAACTGTCTCCAAGTTTGTCAAGATAAGGCTGTATCGTTAGGGATTAATAGCTCTTGGTGCACATTCTAAAAAAAATAGATATTTGAGCATGTAATCATGTCAGAATTCCCGGTATTAATAGTTTTGGTTTGCACATTTTTAATTGAAATTTTTTATAGTAATAAACGAGGGTACATTTGGTCGGGTTTTACTCTTTGGACCGGCTTGTCTTGTCTTATACAGCCACAACATAATGCAAAAATGAGCATGATAGGTAGACTTTAATTTATCTTGTCTTCCTTTTGTGACTGAACTAGTCATTAACAATTGCTGTCCATTGGTCTGTCATATTTTTTCCTTGCCATCCTCTCTCTTATGTGGCAAACAGAACACAAGTTGTGATCTGTCTTTGTCAGAGTCCGCAGTGATCCCTTCTTGGCCAAACTGCAGAACTGGTACTTTGTCCTTTATTTGCTGTGTGTGTCAGTGCTATTGTGTACTGATTGGTCTTGTTCTACTTGATTTTACTCCTTATAATTTGATCATACAGCATATGCTTCTTAGATTATCCTCAGCCTCATACTGTAGTTGGTGTTCTGGGCTCCTTTTGTCTGTCTCTTCTCCTACTGTGACTTTCTATTGGGCTATTTATCTTGCAAGAAAAAGTTTGACTGTTACCTCTGCAACCCAGGTAACTGTTGAAGTTTGGAGAGAATGGTGAAACCTAGTCTATGCCCTTATTTTATTTATTGCTATTTTCTTCTTTCCCACTCTTCCCCCCCATAGTCCAGCAAATAAGCTCTTGACCTGTTCAGGATCCTCTGCAAGGTTTGCTTGCTTTGACTGAAATATCTCTCCACTTCCTTTTGCCTTGCAAAATACCAACTGCTTATCCTCAGACTTAATATTAAACACCAGGGATTGTTGTATGAGAAATCAATATAAAGCTTAGTAAAATCTTAGTGAAACTTATGAACAACTCTGTTGCAGGTTGGAAAACGCTTTCTATGAGCATGCACAGACTTACTATTACACAGAAATACGAAGAGTTAAATCTCATAAGGAGTTCTTGAACAAAACCACTCATCAGGTAATGTTACCCTATTCTTGAAATACTGAGCAAGTTATATTGCATGTTAAAACATGAAAATCAGAGTTGGTGGTTGATCAAATGTTTTTATCCTCCCCACTTCCAACTTGAGATGCTTTCCTTCACTATAGAAAGCAAATTCAGTTTTATTTTTCTGCAACTTAAACTTTGATTTTTTTGATTGGTTTTGTTCTTATATCTATGTTCCTAATAACTTCCTTAGAGGAAGAGCTGCAGCCCCAAAATTAAGTTCTCCAATTTAAAAAAAAAAAGAGTAGTTCTTAATTATCAACATGGTTTATCCTACTTGAATATAGTGTCTTACATTCTGGGAAGTGCTTCCCTTAGACATTTTGAACTTAAAAAGCCAAATCAATTGCAACTTTAACTTTTGCTTTTCAAATTGTTAGCTATCTGCTCAGACACACAATGTTCTGATGCAATTGCCAGCTTCCCTCTCCTGGAAGCTGGGCCCGAGTGGTGAGCTACACTGTCAGTGTGGAAAGTTTGGAGTGTTACAGAGCCTCTCCTCTGTTCCAGGGTCTGAGGCTTGGAACAGACGAAATCTGTGGAAAGATCACTGCTGCACCATGGTGGGGCAGAGAGAGAACTGTTAGGAAACAGTTGCGTAGCCAGTTTGTCAAGCCAACTGCCATATTATGTAAACTCCTGAAATTATCCCCCGTATCTGCTTTGTAGGTAACAGGGATGTTCAGATGTTTGAATGCTGTGCGCTGGTTGTGTTTTGCAGCTTTTATTTGTCAGACACCAGTTCAAAATAGCGTTCTTCAGTGAGCTGAAACAGGATACCCAGAATGCTCTCAAGTAAGGCTCATGTAATCTTTCCTCACCCTCTCTACCCCCAATTACTGCTAAGCCATAAACTCTGATAAATAGTTTCCTGAATGCAAAATAACCTAAACATGTGAGGGGTGAGTTCTTCGCTGGGGAGAACACTCTGATTTGAAAGCTGTTTTCTGCTGTTGGCAATCCTGTTCTTAAATTTTATTATTTTGCATGTATAAATCTAATTTAAGTATTCCTGCTTAGAAATTACAGAACTGCCTATAATCTTGTGCATGAATTGAGGGCTCACGAAACAAACATGCTGGAAATCAAGACCATGGCAGGATTCATAAACTACAAGGTAACAAGTGTATTTCTAATCTTTGACAACGTTTACTTATAAAGTTTAAATGTTCTGCTGCCTTTAAGGAGATGGATTGGAAACAGCTGTCAATGAAATGCCAGTTACACTCAGACTGGCAATTCCACACAAAAGAGAGATTCTTAGCTGAGGTTTGGGAGTGCCTTGAAGGATTGGAGTTCATTTGAGATGCAGTCACCTGAAAGACTAGACTCTCTTTAATTCTGACTCTGTGCAGGAGGAATGAAAACAAGGGTTGCTTGTTCCTTGAATATTTTGGAATCTTCTTGCAAAGGTTAAACCAGTGTAGTTTGGTTACTGTTTGTTAGGAGAAGGAAAGTGACTCTTTGAGAATCAGACCATGCTTTCATGGTATTTTGGGGGCTTTTCAGTGAAACAAAACTATCCCACCGTTTATAACAATCCTGGAGTCGGAGTCCATCAAATTCCATTTGCAGACTGCGAGCTTCAGACATAATGATCTTCGTAGTAGTCCTGCAGTTCCATCTTGAATTTGGCTGTGGGTTATGTGCTCTTCCATTGATGACTTGAGGGAGAAGGGGAAGAAAAATAACATTAGATGAAATAGAGGACCATGTGGTTTCAGGTGTAGTACATTATGGTTTGCATCTATTTTTCTCCTTCTGTTTTCTGTGCTATTTGAGCTACTCAAAAATATGTAAAGTTAGTTTGTGGTTGGCATTTTTTTTCCGTAGCTTTTTTATTTTATAAAGCTAATCCTTAGTAGCCTAACACAGTTATTTTTCCTCTTATTTGGATTTCTTCTAGATCTGTCGCCTCTGTTTCCAGCATAATACTCCACTGGATGCAATTGCTCAGTTCAGAAAACACATTGACTTGTGCAAGAAAAAAATAGGCAGTGCAGAACTGGCCTTTGAGCACGCTGCCTGGATGTCCAAACAGTACGTTATTTCTGCTTCAGTTCTTATAACCCTGTGACGTTCACTGGTTCCTTGTCTAGGCGAGATACAATTCCTGAGCTTTTTATCTAAGAAAAGTGCACACTGGATCATAAAAGCTGTATGCTGTTGTTCTACTTTGCCTTGATTGTTGGCCACTTTTCTCTGGGAATGAGCAGGGTATCACACAACTGCAGCCATAGAACTGTACCTCTCCATTCAAATTGCTGTTCTCTGCATAGCCTTGGTTATGATTTTCTTTTAATAGGTTTCAGGCTTTTGGTGACTTGTTTGATGAAGCGATTAAGCTGGGATTGACAGCAATTCAAACTCAGAATCCAGGTTTCTATTACCAGCAGGCAGCCTACTATGCACAGGAACGGAAACAACTAGCAAGTATGCTTTGTAACCATGATGTAAGTTGGGAGGGGAGAGAATGCTTTGCAAGTAGCCAGGTAGTAAATTAGCTAATGTTTTAGTCTCAATGGTAGTGGCATAATTCTGTAATGTGGGTGAATGGAATCCGAGGAAAGGATATGTGTGTTTTCTGATGCTTGCTAACATTACAGGTAGTTGTTACGTATTGGAAAAGTTACTCCAGAATAAATCCAGTAGCGTTTATTATATTACAAGTAATTTGGACGTGTTTTTAAAATAATTATTTTTAAAAAGTATACTTTCTACATCTCAGGATACTTGAAAACTTAGTTTTGTTTTTGCAGTGTATTTCTCTATACGTGCACCGTATGTGGAAGCAGAGAAACAGGAGCTTTATTAGTATTAGAGTGTGTGTGGGTGGTGTGGTTGTTTGTCTTTTTTTGACACTTGCCTGGCAGAAAGGTTTGTGTGGAAAATCAATCTCTGCAGTCGATTAAACATACGTGTTAATTATATGTAACTACTCTCCAGCTGACATGTCATGGGTTTTAAAAAATGTCTTTATTCCTATTGGTGCCATTTATTGTTCTTAGATTATGTTGTTAGGAGCTAGTTTTAAAAAGGATTACTCAGTCATGCTTTAACAGTATTTGAGATGAATGAAGGTGAATGAAGTAGGATGACAGACGGCTTGAGAAGTATTTAAGTGTTTGGGTTTCCGGAAACAGTATTTTTACACAGGTGGCCGGAAAGGTCATATGTGTTAAAGCAACCTTCTATCTATGCGCACATGTGCTGGAGTATCAAATCACTTCTAATGTTTTAAAATGAAACATGAACCCTTTTTAATGACTGTATTTGCTGAATTTGCAGTCCTCTGTGGTATATCCCAGTCCGGATCCCCTGGAAACGCAAACTGGAGTGCTTGACTTCTATGGGCAAAGACCATGGCGGCAGGGAATATTAAGTACGTTTCTGTGTCTTGTGGGTGGAGTTTGTCCAAACTTCTTTAGCTGCTGATCCTGCCAGATGGTTTGGTGGGCATCAGCATGTAATCCCTTTCCCACTGAGACAGACGCCAGGCTGGGACTGCACTCTCTCCTTAGTGGGTGGTATGACTTGAACGGGTGTCAGGTGGAAGCACAAGAGGTGTGTTTGACCCCTGTGGCAAACAGAAAAAGGAACCTTTGGGTTTAGGCAGGACCAGGTCTTCAGCAAAGTTGCATAGGCTGTACTGAAGCTCTGCTGCTGCATTGTTTCTGTTGCTGCCTGTCATCAGTGTGCTGCAGCGATGCCTGGCTGCAGTGAAATGCACCCCTGGGAAGAGAAGTTGGAGAACCGGATACAGCCAAAGTAACGATTGTTTATAAATTCATCCTGCCATTCATACTGTTGCTTGTCAACTGTAGACAGGAACTCGAGACTTTTTTTTTTCTTTTTGGGTTTTGAAATGGATTGAGAGGATGCAATCACTAGATTTTAATCTGAGAAAGGAATTTGTGGCTTTCCTATTAAGGAGGATGTTATCTCAGAAATTCAGACTTTGTACAGCTTTGAGCTATGTATGAATACACATGCAGTTCCCAGATCTTCATTGTTGACTGTGGTTTTACTTCTCTTTTTCCTTCTCCATTTGATCTCCTATTCGTTATTCTCTGCATATCCTTTGAGCTTTGCTGCTTTCAGTGCCCTCTTTTAAGGACTATTTCACTTACTGTAAATGCAGTACTGTCTAACCTCTTTCATCTTCAAGAGTTACTGATTTAAAATTAGTTACAATCTACTGCCAAGGTTAAACAATTTAAGATGAAGAGAAACTTTACCTGTTAATATATTCAGGTTTTTTGGTTCCAGCAAGAGTTTATAGTCTTCTAAAACTCTCTACTGTTCGTCATGTGTTGGCGTTCTTTACTGCTGGAGAAACCCTAGTTTGAATCCTGACTGGAGTGCAGATAGGAAAAGGGCTACAAATTTGTCTTAGCATATGCACTTTAAATGTTAATAGATGCAGTCTAAAAACTAGGTTGTCTTACTGTAGTTTGCTATTTTTAGGTAGTTTCGGGTAACTTCTTATAAACAAAAGGCAAGTTATTTGTTTCAGAGCTTCCCTTCTAGAACATGGAGGATGGATGAGTTCTTAAAGCAATTATATCCGTCTCCTAGGTACAAAAATGTTCAAGAGTTTGAGTGTGCTTGAGCTGGAGCTTGCATTGCACACAGCTTACCTTCCTTATACCCCTGTATAGCTTCCATATAAATATGCAAATGTGACTAGAGTCATCTGTTTCTGCCTAAACAGCGAGCCAAGAGAGTGAACTCATATATGTCCTGGATTCATATATGTTGCTGGATTCAGGTATTGCGTACAATACGCCTATTTATTTCAGAAGAACAAGGCTCAACTCCTTAATGCACATGTTTGAGTTGCTGTTTAGCTCATCATCCAAGAGGATTATAAAGCATCCCTTGTGCATCCTTCGCTTTTAGCATAGATACCCTTTGGGTCTGGACAAAATTCCGATTCCATGTTTTTTTTCATTGTCTTATGTAGGCTTTGATCTTTCTGATCCTGAAAAGGAAAAGATGGGGATTCTAGCCCTACAGTTGAAAGAGAAGAATGTCCTTCACTCGGTAAGTTTTATTCTGAAAAAATACCCCAAACCTGTTGTCTAACATTATCCTATTGTTTGCATACATAATGATATTAGTGATGTTTTTATCTGTCAGGAGCTAATAATCACCTTGCTGAGTAATGCTGTTGCACAGTTCAAGAAATACAAATGCCCAAGAATGAAAAGTCATTTGAGTGAGTATAGATAATCAGATGCACATTTTAAAATTCATTTTGCAAAGACTTTAGGTATTGATCTGGAACTGTTTGTGTTTGTTTTTTGTTGTTTTAATCAGTGGTTCAAATGGGAGAAGAATATTACTACGCTAAAGATTATGCCAAAGCTTTGAAGTGAGTACCATCCACGATTGCTTCTTTCACATGCTATTCTTGTCACTAAGACCCCATGCCTTGTCACTATGGAATAATGTTGGAAGCTCATCTAAGATGCTCTTAGTACCTGGATTTGATTGAAGCACAAGCTTTGGAGCCTATGAACTCCGCTTACATTAAAGAAAGCAAAACAGATATAAATAAAACAGAGATAAATCAGTCATTAGAGTAGAAAAACTTCCTGCTGTTGTGGGCATTTGCCTTATTGGGCAAATATTATTTATTTCTAACTCACTGATTGAGTGCTGTCTCTCCCTCTCTCTTTCTCACTCCCCTCCCCCAGAAGTCATTTCTGAAGCTTGCCTGCTACTGCAATGAGAATATAGTTACATTTAGTTACAGACTTCGTAGTTACAAAATTTAAAAAATATGGAGGTGTAGCAGAATTTAGTTTTTGTTTATATACCAGGGAATTAGCAAAAGGAATTATTTATATTGGTGTCGTTTTCTGCTGCTAATGACTACAGAGCTAGGAAAGCTTAGTGCTCAGGTACAGCCACCGTCTTTTCTGAAGGATGTCTCTTATGCTTTGTTTCTGAACTTTGTGTTTTTAAGGGGAAACAGAGCCAAGTCCATGTTGAGTAGGAGTCCCACAGTGTTTTCATTAGTTAGGTTTCAAAGATCACATGTTGTAAAGGGAGTATGTGTGAGGTAGGAGATGTGTTTACAGTTGTTACTCGCAGACTGCAAGCTATGTAGAGAAGATAGGCTAGGATAAGCAGGTCAGTTTCTATCAAGCTGAATTTTTGCATGAACAACCATTTCTGGTTTTATGTTTAGGTAGATTATTCTCAAGTAGGCAGAAATTTGTCTTGAACAGTTGAACCGAGTTTAAAAAAAAGTCACCTCTGCTTTGCAAGTAACAGCAAACATTGCTCCATATTCAAACCATATTAGGGTGTGCAGTTTTGCCTGGTGAAGGTTGATTCATGTCTTGTTTGTGGATCTCTGAAACCCGTGAAGGGAGCAGGGGAGAGAAAGTAGGAGGGAAAAGAAACATCTCTGCTTAAGGAATGTTAAAATCCTTCAGTTTGGAATGGGACTTTCATTGTGGGGTTTTGGTTTGTTTTTCCTTAAAACTTCCTGCATACTCAATAGCAAAGCATATTTTTAATGCAATGCTGGATTGACTCATCTGTTCAGTTGCTGTTTTGCTAGTTCTTTAAGTGAAGACAGGTGAGTTGTCCAGTGTTGTTCTCTTGTGAAAATTGTTCTAGCCTGAAATAGAAAATTCACAGAGTAAGGGTGTTTGTTTACAATAATTTCATGCTGTTCTCAGTCATTGCCATGTGTGAACAGTAGACTTGACTTCAATCTAGCGTTTGTATTAGCAAAGATGAATTTTGCAGTAACGATACCAAATATGTGCGAGCTTCTAAAAAATACTGGTGTGTAGAACTTGCTGTTCCCTCAATCTTACTGTGTTGCAGGCTCTTGGATTATGTTATGTGTGAATATCGCAGTGAAGGATGGTGGACTCTTCTCACTTCCATCTTGACGACAGCTCTCAAATGTTCCTATCTGATGGCTCAGCTGAAAGACTATATAACGTACTCTTTAGAGCTACTGGGCAGAGGTATTCTTTTAAGAAATATACTCAGCCTATCCATAAAAAATAAAGTACGTGTATTTACAGGACTGACAGGTCGTTGTCAGACAGAGTGCTTACAGTACTTCAGGTGATTTGACTGTGAAATAACTATATACCTGTGCTGAATTTTCTCCTGTATGCTGGAAGCTGAATTTTCTTGCTCCTCTGTTATAAAATTCACTGCTGTCTAATAGGCAGTGTCAGGATATCTGAGGCACAGAGCTTCGTTTGAGACTGTTCAAATAATGTAGCAGAAACTTGCTGAGCTTTTGGATGGGGGAAGAACTGCAGTATAGCTAAAGGGGGAAAACAATTTTCCTAGTAAGTCACAAAGCTAGAGCCATTTTTTTCTGGACTTTAAAATCCCAGATGTGCTTCTCAGACTTTTTACTAGAACTCTGCTGATGAAATACACATGTGGTATGTTTTAGGTGAACAAATGTGACATAGAGTGGCTGTGCAGTAGTAATGCAAGAACTCTGCTTTGTGTAATGTCTGTTACTTCATCCTGCAGAAATAGTCCTTTTGTGCCCTAAATTGCTAACGCCACTATTAGAGTAGATGTGGTAAAATGGGTTTCTGTCTTCTGTTAGCTAGCCAGGCCACTGTGCTCTGCAGTAAATCATAGCCAATGAGACAAACTCACCTTTCTTCATCTTCAGGAGAAAAGTGCTTATTTTAATTACTCCTTTTTAGTTCCCATCACCTTCTCTAATAATATCTGAGCTTGCCTGTTTGCATGTTCCAGATTTTTCTACTGTCTCTTCTGTCTTCAAACATAAATAACAAGAAGGTGTAGGCATTGTTCTCTTGGGGTTTTCCTCCAATAAATTACAAAACACTTGTTTAACCAAAAAGAATTCTACTTGGTTCCAGTGGAAGTAAGAGAAAACACTTAATGTCCTGAAACCTGAATGAGTCCTTCCTTAATGGTAGATGGATGTTAGCTTTAGTGTTTTCCCTGCTCAGAATGTAGGCGTTTTTTGAAAGATGCAATCTAAAGGAAAGATTTATTTTTAAATTTAAAAAGGAAAATAAAAATAAGAGGACTTGCTTCTGTTTTGTAATTTTTGGTTTTGTTCTGTTTGCTAGCATCTACTCTGAAAGATGACCAGAAATCTCGAATAGAAAAGAATCTGATAAAAGTTCTAATGGTAAGTGGCAAAACTCCTTTTGCCCTTTTAAATAACCTTAAGAGTGGTCAGTATTTGGTAACCACCTTCTACTTGTAATCTGTCTGGATACAGAATGAAAGCCCTGATCCTGAACCCGATTGCGACACTGCTGCTGTGAAAGCATCACAGAAACTCTGGGCTGACCGTGTTTCCTTGGCAGGCAGTAATGTTTTTACAATAGAAGTCCAAGATTTTATACCGTTTGGTAAGTAAGAAAGCAAATTTACGCCAGATCGTAAACTTTCCAAATCAGTTATTTTCGAGATGCAACTCCATGAAAATTTATAGAGTGTGTTTTAAAGCAAGCAGCAGGGAAACTCTTGTTTCAGCACTGCTCTGTTCTTCAGCTAAATCAGTAAGATAGAAACCATGAGAGAAGCCAGGGCGCTCTCATCCCTGATATGAGTTACTGAAGAAGGATCCCTTGCATTTTGAAAGACTTCGGAAAGCCACTCTGGTGTGCTTTGAAGTAGGATTCTGAGGAAAGAGGGCAGACCGTGTGCACAGTAATTCTTGCCATAGAAAGGGGGGATGAGTGAGCATTTACCTACAAAACAAGTGTATCTAAGTGTATGGGATTATTTTTCATGCCTCTCCTCTGCAAAGGTTTTGGCCGAGTGCTGAAAAGTGGCTTTCTGTGACAGTAACCAAATTTGGATTGGTTACTTGGATCCCACTTACATACAAATCAAAGTTTTAAGAGTATGCACAGAACAAACCTTACCACGACGATGTCAAGAGTGTGCTTCTGGAATTTAATGTTGTAGTTTGTGTTTAACACCTCCCTATTTCTTCTTTCTCCTTTTTTCAATTCCAGTGCAGTGCAAAGCAAAATTTCTTGCTCCTAGTTTTCATGTTGATGTTCCTGTGCAGTTTGACGTATACTTGAGAGCTGACTGTCCTCATCCTATCAGGTTTTCTAAGCTCTGCATCAGTTTCAATAATCAGGTAACTGTGTTCTATCTATCTCTGACCTAGTGATAGAAGCTTATCATAAGAATAATATCTACTAGTGGTTTTTAAACATGAACAAAAATCAAAAGTTCTTTTCCAATAATTATATTAACATTTAAGTCGGAAAGATGTTTTTTCTTTTTGCGTTGTCACTTTTGACAAATGTATTGATACTGTGATAAAACTCCCAAATGCAGTTTGATTAGTTCATCTATCATATCTTTGGTTTTCCATGAAGCTCTCTAAAGGTTCAGAAGGATCACTTTAATGTCATTTCTCTTGATATAAAGTTACATTAGTATAGTGGATATAAGGGCAAGTGTAAAGTACTGTA